ATTGGTGTAGGCGCGGATGTAGTGGGGATGGTGGGGCTTTTTCATTCATGACCACGCCTCCGAATTTTTTTCTTTCTTATTTTTATTTTTATTTTTTAAAATTTTAAATTTCTGTTCATGTTAACGCGGTTGGAGTTGGACGGTGATTTCTTTTTCCATTTGAAAATATTTTTTTTTGTTAATAATTTAAAAATATAGTATTTCGTTTTAAGAGTTGTGCCGCATTCCGGTATATATTTACAAAATTTACCCATCTTGGACTACAATTATTCCTGGTCAAGCAAATAGAAATGGATATTTAATTTGGAAACAGGGAGCATCCGACATTTGAAGTATTTTCTCGTATACATCCAGTATTTTAAAATATTTTATATCACATTCAGTATTTAAACTATTTTCTAGGTGTGTTTAGCACCTGAAGTATTTTTTTACCTTGGTGCTAGATGCATCAAAAAAATATTTTGATATACTGAATACATAAAATATTTTAGAATATTGGATGTACACTTTAATCCTTTAATTTACATGCTCCACATTCTAATTATTTCACCTTCTTTAATTCATACTCCTCTAATCCTATATATATTTCACAAATTATGATTGAAAAACTGTTTTTTAAATGTTATAATCCTTATTACAAGCAAGCCCCGGGGGAGCCTGACAAGGACAGTAACAAATTAATTAACAACATAGCATTACATGGAGCATACTTTTCTAAATATCATTTGGTCTTTATTATTTGTCACTTGCAGAAAAATTTTTTAGCCCTTTTTATTGTCATTTATACCTTCTTTAATTCTTCATTTTCAATTTTACCTATGTTGATTATAAAAGTGAGAAGGCAGAGAAGCTATTTAACAAGTTCAAAAGTGAAAATTTTCATCTATTTAAATAAATAATTTATGAATAATGAACAACTAGTTAAAATTAGTTAAAAATAATAAATATGTTAAAAATATATATTTGTTTTCAATTATGCCCTTATAATAAATAAGAAAAAGGATGAAATGAAATTTATTAAAAAATACTATAAGAGAGAAATAATTAAAAATAATATTAAAAAACACATGAAATGTTAAAGCAAAAAAAAATTAAAGTTTATAAAATACATCACGTCTATTCCTAAACTTAAAGGTTATAAATAAAACAGGTGAATGAGGAGCTTTTATAAGTGAGAAATTAAAAAGAGCTAGCGGTGATCTTTTAAATTTTGGTTGTTCTTTCCAATGTTGCTTTTAATTAAATCCCATCATTTTTTTTCAACTTCAATTAAATATATTTTACTACGTACTAAACAAGGGTGAGAAATGCAATTCTAATAACTAAAACGGACAATTTTAGAAAACTATTTTAATTGCTCCTGGAACTTGGTTTTGCGTGAGTGTGTCATCTTGGGATTGGGAACAGTAAGCTCAAAATGAGGAAGGTAAGGAGTATACATTTTAGCTAAAAAAAATCTGTTAAAACAAAGGTAGAATAAGAGAGTATTATTTTGTAAATTGTTTTATATATATTAAAAAGATTAATATTTATTAATCTAGATTTAATTCGGATCAAAGTTTTTGTTTATACATGTGTTGCATACGTGTCATGATTCCAAGATTCCAAGGACACATGTTTGAATTGGATTGTGTGATCCACGTGTGAGGAACAAAGTCGTAGGCACATTAATGTGATGGTACTGTGTGTGGGTTATTCATGGCGCCGTCCAAAGTGATGGGAAAATGCTAGGGGTCTCAACCTGTTTGTAAATGACCTTCAACACATTTCTTATGCAATCTCCCGTTTAATTTGATACTCCCTCCTCCTCTGTCTATTTTTATAAACAATAACCATCGTCTTTTTTTTATTTTTATAAATTTTTTATTTTATCTCTATTAATTACTTATTTTAATATTAAATATATTTATTATCTTATTTATCAAACTATCATCTCTCTTCATCACACATTCTCTTTCTTTCATAATTCTTTTTATTATAATAATTTTCTTATTTTCTTTCTTATATCCTCTTCCCCCATAAATAAGGGTATTTTGGAGAAAAAAATTTAATTTTTATATATTTGTTGTCTTTAACTAATTTTTTGATCTACGTAATTGAATCTTATATTGTTTATAATAAGAGACGGAGGGAGTACTAAATATATGAGAATCTAATTTATTTTATTCTTTTAAAATAATAGTAATTGTACATATCAAATGTTTTATCAAATAATAGTTATAGTTAATACACATGATGAGTAAGGATATTCCTAAAAAGATAACACCTATTTATTACAAATAACTAACTTAAAATTTTTTTTATTCTCTCAAATTAGTCAATTAAGCTTATATTAAGAATAGGAAATAGTATATAAAAAAAACTTAAATTTCATTAGTTCTTTCTTAAAATTTAACAAGTTTTTAATTCTATCCAATATTTAATATATATTATATATCATTAAAAATAAAGTCCACATAATAATAAATAAAAAGTAAAATTATACATTTCAGAAAAATTTCTTTCCTTTTTACTCTAGAACCAGAAAATTAGTACTTTTCTCGATTTTTTTGACTAAGATAAAGGGGATATTTGGGAAATTATAAAGTACTTTTGAAAATTATTTTTTCATATATCGAGATAAACTTTCACATATTTTGTTCCTTATATCATAAAATTATTTTTTAAATTATTATTTTGTTTTTATCTAAGTACCCCTAAGTATAGTGCAAAACCAGAGGAGTAAGTCGCAGACACAACATGGCCCACCCCATTCTTAAAAAAAAAAAAAAAACCTCTCCTTGTTCTTTAAGGAATGCACTATTAGATTATTTTTAAAATTTTTGAAACACAAAACATGACATCATTTAGAGGTGGGAATCAGGACCGGCCCAGCCCTCCAGGATTGGCCCTTTAAAGCTGGCGGGCTTAAAAGGGCCGGTCTTTCAGGACCAAAATTTCAAAAATACCCTAATTTGCTAGGCCCGGCTCTTAAGTTAACGGGTTCAGGGTCGGCCCGCGAGCTTTTGGCCTGTTTAAAAAAAATATTATTTTTTATATTTCTCATATTTTTTATCAAAAAAATAAAAATAAACCAATAAATTGTTAATAAAAGACATAAATATGAATAAAATTAAGTTATAAATATAAAATATCATCATATATAAATATCCATCAACATCGAAGAACATCTAAAACATTCATTAACAAGATAATAACATCCAAAAGTTTTATCTATAGTGCAATTGTGCAATAAATAAACACTATCATTAATCTTTTAAAACTTCATCATCACTATAATCAACTACTCTTCTTTATAAGTATGATTTTCTTTCGTAACAAAAATATGAAGTTTTTTTTCTTTATAGGAATTTTACTTTTAAATTTAATCTAGCTATTATTTTACTTTAATGTAAGAAACATTGTTGTTAAAACTCATGAATTTCTAATTCAAATTATAGAATCACAAGTTATATAAGTATACTCTATTATCAAATATATATAGTTTAAAAATATTAACGCATATAATATAAATCAAATCATTATTAAAGTCTAAATTAAACCATTTTTAAAAAATTTAATTGGATAAATTATTGTCTAAAACTAAATAAATCAAATCATTTTGTAAAATTTAATTTTAAAATGATAATAATAACTAAATATTTGAAATATTATTAACAATATAAAAAATTAATAATATTAGAATTATATTAAAAAAAATTTAAGAAAATTATAAAAGAGCTTAAACAGGTCAGCCCTTTTAAGCTCTCGGCCCTCTAGGGCCAGCCCTCCAGGGCCTATTTCTAATTTGAGGGGAAAAATTTTAAGCCCAGTTCTCATAATTTCAGACATAAACTGGCCGGACAGTTTCGACCCGTTTTCCCGACTCTAGTATCATTTAAGTATTTAAAGGGGGAACATCATAAACAGAGCCAAAATTCTGGTTTGATTCGCTGAGATTGGTTTCATATTTGTTGAGAATTATACAGAGAGGCATCCAGCCATCCACGCAGTGGCATCATTTTATAAAGGTTTCCCTTTTGATCAATAATATGGATTATTCTAAAAAATATAAAATTTGTAATAAATAATTTTAAAATTTAATTTCAATTACACATTTTGTACTTCATAACAATATTTGTATCTTTGAAAAATTTTAAATTTAAAAATTTATCACTTCCTATACTAGATGTTTACATATGTTTTACACTTGGGTATAATAAGTCATAAGTGGATGAACATACAACTAACGTGATCCGGTTTGTTAGGTGAATGAGAATTTGCGAAGTCTCTTTAATTAAAGTTAACGCAGAATATAAACAATTTCTTTACTAATAATAGAACTAATCTAATATTTAAACATCTCTAATAAAAAGGAATAATATAATTTATTCGAATATATTTATATTATAATTAATTTATCATTCTGATTTTCTTAAGTAAATAGAAGGAACAAATCAAATAAAATATGTAATTTTTTCAAATAAAAAAGCATTGATGTCACCGGAAGACAAGGTGCAAACAAATAAGTAGAAGTGAAGGGCTGTTAATTTGTATCATCTATGCCACAAATAATTATTATTACCAGTAAGTCATTTATTTTTATATTTGTAATTTATCTCACCTATTGGATCTAATTAATTAAATACCTAATAATTTCATTGCATCTCTGTCCATTAATTTAGTTAAAACTCATTATCATCCATCTTTTGTATGTCACACATGCGGAAAAAAACAATTAAAAGGAAAAAAAAATTCTTAGAATAAACAAGAGATTGCATCCAGTTATTTATGAAGTGTCAGGTGCAACAAGAGTCCAACCCACCCCATGTGCTGCGGATATTCCACTGGTCTTATAAAATCCAACTCCAAATCTGCATCACGCACTCAGATTCCCCTCTTGTAGATTCTATTTCTAAGGATAAGAACCAAGAAGCTAGCTACATGAACTCCCTAATGTACACAGAAAACAGATATTTACATTGTTAGGCATAAAAAGTTTTTTGACAGACAGAATTTAATTACCACTTTGTGCTTAGCAGACAAGTCCTGATAATCCTAATTATGTCTGAGAGGGACACAACTCCAACGAGCAAACCTTCTTGGTCCACCACCCAGACCCTATGAACATGTCTCGTCACTGCCTTGTCAATTACTTCAGACAAAGCAGTTTCAGCAGTGCATGTCACTAGTTCTCTTCTTGATGTACTACTAGTCTCCTGTTGAGGAGTTTCTGATGATGCCATCTGTTCTGTGAATCTTAAAGCACTTTTGCCTAACCAGAATCTCAGTGTCTCTATGTCGCATTTCCTCAAGTCAGTTGCAGAAAATGTCCCTATCAGCTTCCTGCTTCTTCCCTGCCATTTACAGGACAGATTTCATCACACTTTCTCAGTAAAACACAAAGAAAACTAGAAAGTGTGTTTTTGTTTTGATCTCAGACTTACATTAAGAAGCTGTTTGTGATCATCTGGGCCGACTTCCGAGGCATTAACGATTGGAACCGCGTTGAGCATGGAAGCTTTTAAGCATCTGATGGCGTCAATAAGTCTTGTGCGTTCAGTAATGGCGTACACTTTATCTGTCACTGCGCAAAGGTCTTCAACAGAGCGTCCCACAATGTGGTTCCACTCGGAAGCATGCTGTTTCAAGAACTTGATCACGTCCATTTGGGTCAGCATTTGATAGCCTGAAGAAGATTCTCTCAGTTCAATCCCACCACTTTCTGATATCTGCTGCATCTGGCTGTCCACTGGTATCATAGCTCGATGCACGCCTTTGCTAAATACTTCCATACAATCCATTAAACTACATATCCAAGCACAAGTTAATATATAAACGTTTAATTATGCGTGTTGATGAGTAACTAAGTGGGATGAGAAGTCCTTAATATTTAAATATGGGACTTACCATTTCATACAATTGAGTCCCCATCCCACATATAACACATATAGCCCAAAAACTGTTGTGTGAGTATATATTCACCTGGTATTAGGATTGAGAGTCCATAAGTTGAGACCTTCGATGCAGTGGCCTATAATGGAGGACACTGGAGCAGACATTTTTTCATGAAGATCTTCAACTCCATCATCGTTCTGGCTCAAGCGGTCATCACCAGCTATGTGAGCGGCGATATCAAACATGGTCACGATCCCTATGTAATGCTTTCGTGGGGTTCCCGTTTGCTTATCTGTTTCCACGATCATTGAGCCGCCGGCCCCGATCCATTGCCCTGGTGGCGCGACCGCCGGCACCGCCACCACGTTGTTGGCAACCAGCGTGCCCATCACCTGAGACAGCGACACCGTGTACGGCACCTCTACTAGCCTCTTCGCATTATTTGCCATCAAATCTTTCACCTTCTTGTCTGTAATAATCCTCGTGCTTTCAGTCCATTGCATGTTGGCATTCGCCTCCTTTATTTCTTGCATGTTTTGCGTCTTAAAAGACAATAAGTTTATGTTTCTGGGTTTCAAAAGCAAAGCAGTGCTTCTGAAGGAAACGATGCTGGTTACTGTAGTGGAACTATATAGAGGCATAGATATCAAGGTTATGCAAATTGCTGAGTTGATCACTTTATCTCCAGTCTCTTATTGGTTTTCATTTTTTGTTTGGTCTACTATATGATTCTACGTGTTGCTCTACAGAGATTCGAACCATTATGTGGCGTGTTATGTTCTTCCCAAGTGTCCATGTGCTGTGATAACTCATGGCAGACCCATGCACAGGACACCTTTAAAACTTGAGAGAAAATTGTTGAAAATTTCTCACCCAAAATTTTATTGAATACCTGAAATTTGCTGAAAATTCCCCGTCAAAAAATCTGAGCAAGTGTAATTGTTTTAAGTAATAGGATGTAACATATCTTTTATTATGTGTAAAAGTTTTTTTTTTTTGTATAACTTAAAACATTCTCAAATTACTTTTATCTTGAGATTAATTTTTTTAGAGCTGAGAGCGTTAAGGTTAAAGCCCTCCCACAAGTATATTTCTTAGAATTCAAACTTGTATTCTCCTCTTTACGGAAATGGGACCACTTATTATTTCAACCAACAACTTAGTAGTTCTGTTGTATCTTTATTTATTATATATTAATGATAATTATAATTAATAATAATATTTTTCTGTTAATCTCTTAATTTTTTAATATATTTATATAAATATATTAAAAAAGAGAGTCAAACCTTATGAATATGAAAAAGTTGTTCATATACTATTTTAAATTAAAGGCCAAATGAAAGACATAGATTTGCTCGTGGCTAAATATATGTTAGAAGTCAGTTAAACAAAAGTTTGCACAGGTCGAAAATGAGTTGCTCCTTGTTATGGACCTACAAATTTCATGTAGCTCTAGGCTATAAACATGTCAATATGGGATTTTCCAGCAATTTTTCTTTTCTTTTAAAAAGGCGCAATGGACCGAGAATGGGCCATGCTGAGTGAAAAGGCCCATGAGAGCCCAAAGTAATGAGTCATTTAGCAACAGAGGTGGTCCAAATAGGAGGAGCCTTATTGGGGTCCTTGTTAAGCGTTACGGTGTAAATCCCGTGATACCCATAAATGCTCATTCTCTTCTCTCCTATTTATAACCATTCTCCTCATTCTCGTGACCACATAAATTAGCCTTCTTTAATCTCTGCACCAAGCCACCAACCTCATTTCTCACTACTTCTCTCTCTCCGCACCCTCTATTTAAGAACCCGAAACCCCATCGTCGTCTTTCACTAAATTCCAAAATGATGCTTCTCTACCTTTTCCTCCCACTGCAACTCCCAGCTCTCATGTTTTTTCCCCACCTTGCTCTGTCCTTCACGGCCATCATGTCAGATTCCGGCGTGCCTTCATCTCTTGTAGACGGCCCTCAGACTGGGTTCTCCATGACGCAGGACGGCGCTCGAACCGACTCTCACGAGCAAGAAGCAGTCTACGACATCATGCGAGCCACCGGCAACGACTGGGCCACCGACATCCCCGACGTCTGTCGCGGCCGGTGGCACGGCATTGAGTGCATGCCCGACAACGACAATGTCTACCATGTTGTGTCGCTCTCCTTCGGAGCTCTCTCTGACGACACTGCTTTCCCCACATGCGACCCGACCCGGTCTTACATTTCGCGGTCCGTCACCAAACTGCCCCATCTCAAGACCCTTTTCTTCTACCGTTGTTTCAGTTACAATCCTCAGCCAATCCCTACGTTTCTCGGCAAGCTGGGCCCCACGCTACAAACCTTAGTCCTCAGAGAAAACGCCCACGTGGGGCCCATCCCAAACGAACTAGGCAACCTCACCCGTTTGAGAGTCCTGGATCTTCACAACAACAACCTCAACGGTTCAATACCGTTGTCCCTGAACCGGATCACGGGTTTAAGGTCGCTAGACTTAAGCGGCAACAAATTAACCGGGCCCATTCCCAATTTAACGTTCCCAGCCCTAAACGTACTAGACCTGGGCCAGAATCTTCTGACTGGCCCAATACCATCCACACTAGGAACCTGCCTTTCTCTCATCAAATTGGATCTCAGCCGCAACCATCTCACCGGACCGGTGCCGGAGAAAATCTCCGGGCTGAAAGAGCTCATGTTAATGGACCTGAGCTACAACAACCTCTGCAGCCCATTCCCAAAATCCCTCAAAAGCCTGAGTTCTCTGCAGGCCCTGATTCTCAAAGGGAACCCAATGGGCCCAGGCCCAACAATAATACCCACCGACCGGTTCACAGGTTTGACGAATCTAATGACCCTGATACTATCCAACATGAACTTACACGGCCCAATACCAGAATCCCTGGGCAAATTACCAAACCTTCGTGTGGTTCATCTTGACGGGAATTTCTTAAACGGGTCGGTCCCAAAAAGCTTCAAGGACCTGAAGAACCTGAGTGAACTGAGACTGAATGATAATAAACTAAGTGGGTCAGTCCCATTTAGCAGAGAAATGGTGTGGAGGATGAAGAAGAAGCTGAGACTGTATAATAATTCTGGGCTGTGTTATGCAGAGAAAAGTGGGTTCAGTACATTTAATAACTACGACATTGAATTGTGTGATGGGAGCTCAAATGGTGGTTCATCAGAAGGATCACTGGGAACAGTGCAGCATTATTATCTCTCTGTGACTCATAAGTCTGAGCCAAACACCACAAATGTTGTTTCATCGGATGCTGTTCTTGTTGTTGCAGTTACAACAAGGTTGTTGGGGCTGACTTCACTGCTTCTCTTTGGTTTGATTTTATTGTAAGCAATGAAAAGATTTAAGATTGTTTGTGGTATGTATGTATGTACACGAGAACTAGTAGAATATTATTATAGGTTTTGTTTCTGATTGTGTCATAAATAAAGTTGAGTTTTCTGTAAACTTCTGACTTTCTGTGTTGTGTGCTAGAAATCTAGAGGTTCAAGTTGAGAAAGGTTGGTTAGAAGTAATCATAAATTGATTGAGATTTGACGGTGAAGGGTTAGAATACACTCTGGTTGTTAATATAAGAACAAGATAACTAATTTAATAAAATTAAAAAAAATTAGTTAAATTGGTTATTTATAATAAATAAGTATTGTTTTTTTTAAAATATTCTTGATAGTCGTATACATTAAAATTATCTTTTAATGAAAATTCCTTAACACGTGTACTTGCTGTAAGGGATTACAAAAAAAAGAATAAACAAATAATAAAAATAAAATAAATTTGAATCTTATATTTAAAATTAAATTAAATTTTTAATCAGATTTTATATTAAAAAAAGGGGGGCGGTATATCTTTAGTGTGCATCAATAAGCATCCGAAATGGGACCACCTCGCAGTATATGGCCTCTCAGGCAACTAATATTCAGCTACTTAGGTTGGCTCTTACTGAGATATACTAAATGTATGCTAAACTGTTAGGTAGAAAATAACCCATCATCCTTTCAGGTCCAAAATATAGGAACAACCTTTCTCCGTTTTGAAATGTTAGTTATTTTGGGGTTTTTTTTGTGGGGGGAGGGATCACAGAGAGGTGTTTGGAAACACTCAAGTATTTTTCTCTAAAACAAGATAAATTTTTTTACATATTTATTTTGTATACCGTTAAAGTATTTTTAAAACCATAATTTAGTTTCTATCTAAACACCCCCTGAATTATAATAATATAGTATTGCTTTCCTAAGATATATACTCTTTCACTAATTTAATGAGGTACTATCTTCAATATTCTCTCTGTATTTTTTTTAAAATTAAACGAAGAAGGTAGATGAACTGCAAAATAAGGGGAAAAGATTAGTAATAGTTTGATATTTCATTGGAATTATAAAATGATGATGAGTTTAATAAAATTACAAAAGCTTGAAAACGACAGATATTTTAAAAGAAAGAAAATAACACATATAAACTATTCATTATTATTAATAACAACTTGAAAATCCAATAGCATGAGAGATGAGTCTTGGTAACTTCTCAAATACTTTCACAATTCTAAATATAAGAACGATATAACTTATTGATAAAGATTAAAAAAAATTAATTAAGTTAATTATTTATAAAAAAATATGTTGATTTTTTAAATTACTCTCTTTATTCTTTTAATAACTTTCATGGAAAACTACTCCCTTAATGAACTTAATATATGCAATTAATAGAGATAGTTGAGGAGAAACATTATACATTTAAGAGACAAAAAAATTAAGATCTTATATTTAAGATCAAAACAGATTCACCAGCTCTTATATTTGGGAATGCGAAAAATTAACATAGTATTTAGTTTAGGTAAAACAAACTCACTAGCTCATAGTCTCTCTAAATTGTGTTTGATTCAGGTAAAACAAACTCACTAGCCCATAATCTCACTAAATCCTCCCAATTAAGAGAAAATGAGGGGGAAAAAACTTAAATTGAGGTACTTATATTCATTATATCAAGCCACTTAGTCAAACGTCTGTTTTAATTTTTTTTTATGTGGGTTTATAATTAAATACAAATATTTTAAAAATAGAACATATAACCAAATGTGATTGAAAAACTTGACATAATAAATATAAAATTTTTTGTATAAATATTGTTCAAAAAATGATTAAAATATTGGTGATATTATGATTGAGTGAAGTAATCCCTATAAGTATTTATGAATATATTATGATGAGGTGGAAGCTAGCCAATGGTCATAGAATAAAAGAACAGCTCATTTCATTTGTATGGAATTTGTCTTTTGAGGCTTAAGGGACAAGCACTTGCAGTCTATTCTGACATCAATGATTGACAACTTGATTCTGCTAACAACACCTAATTAATTAATCATTGAATTTAATTAACATCATATAGTCATTATAATTATGTTATTGTAATATATACATCCTATAATGCTCTGGTAGAACATTTTTTGCCCATCAATTCCTTAATAATTCAATTAATGTTTTCACCAAACCAATCATCAGTCATCAGTCAATAGACTAATATTTTGCCCGTAT